TTATGATTTACTTTTATGCTATTATGATGGAATTTTAAAATTAAATTTGTTTTTTGAATGTCTACTTGGTTCCAAGCCCCATGCCAAGGCACTGCAGATAAACTTTAAGGAGTTCATAGCCAAGTGGAGGAAGGGGAAAATTAGACACAGAGACCTGTGAAATAGGGTGGAAATGTGAAAGGGTAAAAGTAACTACAGGGCACTAATTAAACTTGATATGGGGTGGGGTCAGAAAAAATTTCCTGAAAGAGATGAACCTCAACTGAGTTTTAAAGATGAGCATAATTATCCAAATGAGAAATGGAGGTCGGGGGAGCAGAGTGGAGAAGGAGGTGAGCAGAGAGGGGCATCATCAGTGCATGCACAGAGATGAGAAACAGCATGGTGAGTGCCGTAAAGGAAGGACAAGTTGTGGGGCAGAGAATGGTGATGGAACACTTGGAGAAATGGGTAGGGGTCAGATTACAAAAGACCCTGTACTTATATATAGACTTGATCTCATAGATAAACTCTTCCTGGAAGATAATAAGCTAATCCTGTGAGACACTACTAGAATTAACCACAACCACCACCACTACCCCCATCATAAATGTGCTATGTGAGGAAGTGGGGGTGGGAATATTCAATATTCCCTTTTAGAGAGTCTTGATGCACATCAGTATGTTAAAAATTCTGAGATATTCTACTAGAAGGGGTTCCATAAGAAACCATTTAACTTCCTTTAAACTATCATTTCCCAAAAAAATTTGAGCATGGAAACTTCTTTTGTTGTTATGCAGTTACTATTAACATTCTGTAGAGCAAGTGTTCTTTAGAACTCACTTTGGAAAATGCTGTAGGACCTGAGGAGCCATTTTAAGCAGGAAGGTGGTATAGTTCTCTTTGTCTTTTAGATAAGTCACTGTGATTTGATAATGGAAATACTGGAGGAAGCAAGACCAGTTGAAGGTTATTATTTAGGCAAGAGGTTATAATGTCCTAAATTAATAGACAAAAGAATGGGAAGGGGGATATTTGATAAATATTTAGAAGTTAAGATTGATACAGCTTGGAAAAAGAGGGAGAAATCCAGTTGACCTGAGTGATCACAGGGGTAATGAGCCCATTCACTGAAACTAGGAATACAAGAGCAGGTTTTAGATGATGAGTTCAGGGGGATTTAGGTACCAGTGATAAGTCTAAGAGATATCTAGCCACTTGAATTTATGAGTCTAAAGGCATTGTACTCAGAGTTTTGGAAGGAAGAATACAGATTTGAGGAGCATCCATGGATAGCATTAAAACTGTGAGTGCACCTTGAAGAAGGATGGAGAGATTGTAAGGTAAAAATGATGGAGAGAGTTAGCTCTTCTAAGAAAAACTAACATTAAATAGATAAAAAGAGGAGTTCATGGAACAGACCAAAAAGAAAGGGGTCACAAAAATAGGAGGAATGCCAGTAGAGAGCACTCTCAGAAAAGCCTTTAAAAGACAGTGGGGAGCCTGGTGGGGAGCCTGGGTGGCTGAGACAGTTAAGCATCTGACTTGATTTTGGCTCAGGTCATGATCTCAGGTCCTGGGATTGAGCCTCACTCAGGCTCCATGCTCAGTGGGGAGTCTGTGTGAAGATTCTTTCCCTCTCCCTCTACCCCTTCCACTGCTCACTCTCTTCCTCCCCCTCTCTCTCTAATATAGAAATACATCTTAAAAAAAAAAAAAAAAGACAATATGGAAGAATGCCTGGATGGCTCAGTTGGTTAAGTGTTGGACTCTTGGGGCACCTGGGTGGCTCAGTGGGTTAAGCCTCTGCCTTTGGTTCAGGTCATGGTCTCAGGGTCCTGGGATTGAGCCCCGCATCGGGCTCTCTGCTCAGAGGGGAGCCTGCTTCCCCCCAACCGCTGCCTGCCTCTCTGCCTGCTTGTGATCTCCCTCTCTCTCTGTCAAATAAATAAATAAAATATTTAAAAAAAGAAGTGTTGGACTCTTGATCTCAGCTCAGGTCATGAGTTCAAGCTCCTTGTTGGACATGGAGCCTACTTAAAAAGAGAGAGAGAGAGAGAGAGAATAGGAGTGGGAGTGGTCATTACATGGGATTGTTAGTTTAAAAAAAGTAAACATGGTAGGTCATTATGGCAATGACCCCAATGTATCCATGCTTTCCTGTGTCCATGCCCCCTTGCAACTGACCCTATTGCTTCTCCCAAGAAAGGGAATCTACCTCTTCATTCATTGTCTCCGAGCTAGCTTTGTGATTTGCTTTAACTCATAGAATGGGAATAAAAATAATGTTATTCAACTTCCAGAACATAGGATTCAAAGGCCTTGCAGCTTCTCCTCTTACCCTGTTTGAATCCAGAGTCCACAATGCTGAGAAGAAGCCCAGCCCACTCTGTGGAAAATAGAAGGCCATATGGAAGACAGCCAAAGTGCTTTGAAAGACATCCCGCATCAACTGCCAAATCTCTGAATGAGGACATTCTGGACCCTCTAGTCCCACTGAACTATGAGATGACCACAGACACATGAATGCTCCCAGCCAAGACCGACGACAGAATCATCCAGATTGCCAATCCACAGAACTATGAGACATAATAAACCATTGTTTTAAGCCTGTAAATTTTGGTCTGGTTTGATATGGAGCAAAGGCCAACCAAAATGGAAATCAGTATCAATTGTGCAGAGCCTCCCTAAAAAGGGTTAAAACATGTGACAGTAGTGTTGGGACTTAGGGGTGAGTAGAGTCAGAGAGCAGTGCAAAAACTGATTTAAGGTACAGGAGGGAGCCAGCCGTGCTAATGAAGAGGCACCACAGTGGGCAATTCTGTCACCTGAGGCCCCTGGGAAGGTGAAAAATGTGCCCAATGAACTTATGAATCTGGCAGCTAAGATTATTTCTAGATTTCTAATATTCAAGAAATACTAAAACTATCAATGTTTAAGCTACTTATGACAAAGTACAGGAAGAGAGAGAGAAACCAAAGAGAAACAGTTTACTCTACAGCAGAAATTAGAGAAAAAATAGAGTCCATGCTTTGCCAGGTTGCTAACTAAACTTCTTTCTTATCTGCAGTCTTTCCAGCTGGCAAAAGATCTAAACGTCTAGAATGCTGACAGTAAAATATGCCTTTGGGTTCAAGATCAAATAAAGTATGTGCCTAAAGACCCTTTGTTAAGACCACTGAAAGACCAACTCTTGATTGCATGTCTCAGTTTATTTTTATGTGATATCTCATGCTTCAGAGGCAAGCCAGTTTCCTCACATGATAATCACAGGTTGGTATTCAGAGTAGAAGAAAGTGGAAACTGTAAATCTTCTCGAAGCACAGGCTCCAGAACATTCCCAAGGTCACTTCTGAAACATTTTATGGGTCAAAACAAGACACAAGAACAGCCCAAATTCAATGAGGTAGGGGTAGCAGGGAGGGATATAGGCACCACCTCTTAATGGAGGCTCTACAAATAAATTGTGACCATACTATACTGCTCTGGGTAAGAAACTTTCAAACTCTGAGAATATTTTAAATTAAGCTTAGAAATGCTTAAAAAAGGGAAAATATAGTATTATTACTTTATTTTGTATTAAGGAGAAATACGTTCTTCAACAGAAAAAATAAAAGAGAGGAAGGAATTTATAGGTTAAAGAGACTTAAAGGGCATATTCATTAATTACAATGTAACTGTAATTAATTAATACAGATTCAATTTAAAAGTATAAACTGTGAGGGGCGCCTAGGTGCCTCAGTCGGTAAAGGGTCCAACTCTTGATTTTGGCTCAGGATCATGATGTCAGGGTCATGATCTCAGGGTTGTGAAATCAAGCCCCAAGCTCGGCTCCATGCTCAGTGGGAAGTCTACAAGAGATTCTCTCTCTCCCTCTCCGTTTGCCCCTCCCCTCTCTTGTGCTCACTCTCATTAACAAGACAATTGGAAATTTGATCATTGACTTGATATTTGATTAAGGAACTATTATTAACTTCTAGGTACAATATTAATATTTTACTATGTTTTTTAAAACGCTTTAAAATTTTGAGATACATACTGAAGTATTTACAGATGAAATAATATGATATCTGGGATTTGTATTAAATTAATATGGAAAGTAGAGTAGTGAATGAGGCTGCTGATGAGGCAGAGTTAGTCATATTGGTTTTTAAGGCTGGGTGATGGGTACATAGGCACTTATTATAGTATTATATCTACTTTTGTTTATGTTGAAAATTCTTCATTGTAAGTTTTAAAATAAAATTTTAAAAAATGGACTCTGGGCATAATGAATATATGGGCATATTTTTGTGTATTTGTAATATTGAATAAAATGTGTTCTATTAGACCATAACCCCAATTTAAAATGTGCAATTTGATAAGTTGATTTAAACTTGATTTTACCTAGTAATCATATTTTAATATGTTATATAATATGTAATTACTTTAAATTATGTTATATAATATATAATTATTTTTATTTTAATATGTTATATAATTTTAATGTTATATAATATATAATTATATACAAATATGTTTATTTAAAATATAATCTTCCTTATATTAAAACATTTAATCTTAAATATTTTAAGAGAATTTTTGATACATTAGTTTTATTTTAATGTATTAGATTTGCAAGAGTTAAAAAAGCACTTAAGAGAATTTTATATAAAAGAAACTCAAATACATTAAATTTATAAAAGTAGTTTCAGATATTTGAAGATGTTCAGTTAGATAAGTACATAAAGGGCACCAAAGATTATTCAAAGACCCCTCAAAAGCCAACTGCTAAAAATTACTAGACTTAGAAACAGAATAATAAGATAGGTGACTTGAACTCAAAGCTTAAGACATTTATTGTTATTTTTTAACTTTAATAAAGCAAACAAACTTTAATAACAATAGGCTATCAAAAGGTGAAAACTTTTTTTTTCCAGTCACCTGAAAGCCTTATTTAAGAAATAGGAGCATTATTTAAGAAATAAGAATAAGAATTAAAAATAAATAAATAAAAAATAGATTATGCGAACTGTACCAACCATTTGGATTATAGCGACATGCAATCTGGCTTCTTCTATTAAAACTTCTTCTGTTGGGGACTCCTCCTCCTATTTGTTATCAGGTGAAACATAATAAGGATCAGACTAAGTTTAAAAACATAATTAGATTAAATTAAAAATAAGCTAAAATATATAAGAGCTGCCAAACACTTCACTCAACAAAGACTCAAATAACTCAAATCAGAACTGCTATCATGAAGGGATATGTGTAACTGGGTTCACTCTCTGTATGAAAAATGTGGCTTTTAACTGTGGTAAAGTAACAATTCATTTGGGAGATTTGCAAGTCAGATTCTCCCCCAAACCTACCTATGCTTGACTGCTCTCTGAAGAAACCTGTGTTCTTTGCTTTTTATAATAACATGAGGACAGATCGCTCAGCTCCTCTAATGGTTGGAAATATGGGCTTGCCAGAGGCCATTCATAGTTAGTAAATCAACCAGTGTGTAAAAATACCAATTCTCCTCTATTTGACAAATAAACCTAGATAACTAAGACCTTCTCTTTAGAGAGAATTCAAAATCTTTTCACCAAGATAGCAAAGCTAGTAAATATATCCCCCGTCCTCAGTTTTCTGACATTTCATTTGCAGGATCAAATTTCTTTATATGAGAGGCAGACCCAGGACAGAAGAAGGAATATTTTTTTTTTTTTTTTTTTTTTGCCGGGTATCAACTCACAGGAAAGTTGTATTCAATCTTTGTTTTTTCTTCTACTAAGGTCCAATTAACATTTGTCAAAATTTTTTCTGTTTTGAATAGTGTGATTGTGTTCTGTATTATCTCTTGAATGTGCTTAATGGCATTTTGCATGGCCATTTGCCTTGGGAGGGAAATAGCACACAAACCTGTGACGAAAAAAAAAAGCAAGAGTCTTAATAGAATACAGTGAAGACTGTAAGAAGAGGCAAAATCCTGCAAGATGGAGTGAAATCTTGTTGCTGTAGTGAATCACCTGCACAGCCAAACAATAGTGTTTAGAGCAAGGACAACCTTTGGTCCAAAGTCTTCCAGAAAATTACCCATCTCTCTGTTTCTTCTGGCTGCAGAGCTCAACTTTATCTGACTCAGCTGCTAAGGAATGCTTTATTAGTTTCCTTCCATTCCCGTTACCAAGAGATGTGACTTGTTACTTCAAGGTCCCTAATCAGTATTTCTCAAAGTATAAGAAACTACTCATGTCTTCTTCAGGTACGAAGGTTGCCTATTAATCTGTGCAAATTCCCTGGCCCACCTCATACCTAGAGAATTAGACTGGCCTTGGAATTTGCAACTGAACAATTCTCCGACTAATTCTTATAAAAATTTTAAAATTAAAAAATTTTTAAATAAAAAGGTCACCGCAATAGAGATCCCTCAAATTTAGTATATCTGTTTCCGGGCCAGCAAATCTACATGCTCCAAAAATTGTAGCCATTTGTATTTTCTTGAGGTATGAATTTGAAGTTACAGCTATGAGGCTCACTCACCAAAAACAAGAATTAATTTTTTTTTTGAAGATTCTATTTATTCATTCCACAAAGAGATAGAGAGAGCACAAGCAGGGCAAGTGGCAGGCAGAGGGAGAGGGAGAAGCAGACTCCCTACCAAGCAGGGAGCCTGATGCAGGGCTTGATTCCAGGACCCCAAAATCATGACATGAGCCAAAGGTAGATGTTTAACTGAAAGAGCCACCCAGGTGCCCCCCAAAAGAATTTAATTAGTGAGTGAACTTGGTCCGCTCACTTGGAATTACATCTCAATAAAGTTGTTCTCTCTTCATAATTGCGCATGAATGGTCTCATAGACAGTTAAAACGAGTTCTAAATGTTTAGCTTAACTTTACTGTATTCTCTGTGGGACACTGTGTGTAATGATGGTGTTTGAAATTTTCAGGATTCCCAAGGTCTGGAAACCTATCCCTCTTGACTCATTATGGTCCAGAGCAAACATGCATTTGACTGTAGGCTGAAGTTAGAAGTTGTCAGCTTTAGATTCAAAATTCCCATGACTGAGACCACACAAGAAGAAATTTTTCTCTTTTTCGGGGGAAACATGAGTGTATGTGGACCACTTGGTGGCACCAATACATTTGAGTGAACTCCCTGTATTTAGATGATCCTGGAAGTGTATGAGGAGGGAATCTCTTAAAGCCTTAGACTAGACGGAAGCAGTTAGTTTGAAACTCCTACTGATAAAACTCAACTCTGACAAGTATTAAATGTGTGCCATGTAGTATTTCTGGAAAGGATGAGTATGGATTCTGAGGGGAGAAAGACCGTTATCATGCACTTCCGTTTTATAATGAAAATTTTTGAGGTTTAGCTACTACAATAAAAAAAATTTGGAGAGGGATGGAGGTGCCTGGGGGGCTCAGTTGGTTAAGCATCCAATTCTTGATTTTAGCTCAGGTTATGATCTCAGGATCTTGAGATGGAGCCCCACACAGGCTCCATGCTAAGTGTGAAGCCTCCTTGGGATTCTCTCTCCCTCTGCCTCTCACACACACACACTCTCTCTCTCCCAAAAATAAATAAATAAATAATAAAATTTTTACAAATTTTGTAAGGGAGGAAAAAGAGAAGAAAAAATATTACCATGACAACCTAGAAGTGTCAGAATAAGAGGAATCACAGGAAAGAAGCATGGGAGAAATCCAGATGTTACATCCTAAGCAAAGAGAATGGAGTGGGTCTGGACCCCTGGGAGTCAAAGGAATTGGTGGGAAGGGAGGTGTGAGAAAGTCTTCAAAGATCAAATTAACTTTCCTCATGTTCCACTGTGGGCTTTTGCTGACAAAGCATACCTTTCTACTGAGAATGAGAACAAATCCATAACTGGGGGGAAAGGAGAGCTACCAAAAGTCTGCCTAATTTACTAGTTCAGTTTACATATTGGGGCCTTTGGGTTTGAGGTGGGCAGTAACAGGAAGTTATGCTAGAGTTTTTGTGGGGTTCAGTTTTACAAAAGGACATGACTGAAAAGACACAAATGGAGGTGATGTCTCTCACAGGTAGGATAGGGTAAATTCACCAGGCTATTTCCTTGACTAGAAGAACTCTCTTTCAACATCATCCTTCCATTGCCTCTCATTAGTTCCAGGCTTTCCAAGAAACTTCCTGATGACTAGTTTTGTTTATCGAGGAAATTGGTATTTAGAGGTAAATACCCTGAATAATGATCACAATTATTTCAGACATAGAAATAAATCATCTTATTATAAATTAATAAATTGATTTTCTGCCTTATCCATATTTTCCTGTGAGTGCAGCATATGTGAATCTCCAGCAGTTGGATCAATTCTAGATACACTGAAAAAATCAAACACCAGCATAGCTAAGACCAGGCCATGGGATACTGAATGATACTAAGGCCCTATTCTAAGACTTGGTGTAATCCTACCTCACCTTCTCCATCCCCAGTTGACTATACTGCCACCAATTATCTTATCCTAGATTTCTCTATTGACCATGTATCTCTGTGTGATTTAATCATACTTATGCATTTTACTATCAATGGCCTCAAATGTCTTCTGGAAATAAGCCACTGTGGCACAGTCTACTGACTGTCTCCCAATATCCATTTTCCCCTTCTTCTTTACCAACCGAATTTCCAAGTTTTGGCTAAGCACATGGTCAGCCAGATAGGGATAATATTTCACAGCTTCTATTACCCATGAATGACTATGTGACCAAATTTTGGCCAATGGAATGTGAGTGGTAATGATGCATACAATTTCTAGATTCTGCCCTTAAAAGGAAACGGCTTACCCTCCATTGCCACCTATCTCCTCATTTCCCCTGTCTAGTCGGTTGGATTGAAGATATAGTGGTAGTGAGCCAACTTCTACCTTGCAGACAAGAACAACATCCCGGGGAATGGAGGAGAAACAAAAAAGAAGCAGAACTACCCCACTCTTTTGGACATTTAGGTAGGGGGTGGGGGAGAAAGTCCTCTATCTTGTTTAAGCCACTGTGAATGTGGTTTCTGTTAAACTGGCTGAACCAATACCCCCAATTAATACAGCATCAATAAGTAATAAGTGAATGAAAATGAATGATTTCATAGTCAATTCCTTGAACTTCATAAGAAATGTCCCCATGACCCCCAACAATAATCTATTTGCATTATTTCCCCCAGTTAATTAATGAAAGACAGATTTACTTTACCTAATGTCCTGGCTGAATGAGTCATCATGTACGAATTTATTCCCATAGTCAATAGTGATATTACCTGTACATACAATATAAACTAAAAAACAAAACACACAAGTAGTTAGAACCAAAAGATGAAGAAGTTCTCCAAAGGGCATCATTGTTCAACTAACCAACATCAACAAAATTCTATCTTAATCCACATTTTTTAATCCTATTTCTGAGAAGTAAATTGAGGCAAAAGGGTTATTTTGTAGACACTGTTTGAATATAATACACTGGAGCAGAAATTAGTTTTCAATGTGAATGAGAGAAGAGTTTATAATTTCTGGGAGGGATAAGAACACTGGTGGAAGAGCTCTCCATCGCTGCAGCAGCCTTGCAAAGCTAGCAAGGTGGTAGGCATCACAGACACAGCTCTGGAGCCTGCAGGGCCAGGGGTGAGGAGGACCCAGCAACTGCAGGCAGTGGTGACACAGCAGGGAGGGAAAGGGTATCTGCCACCAGCATTTACTACAGCTCAGGAGGCTCTGAAGGAAGCTGCAGGAACCATGGTGGGGTCTGGAGAGTCACCGTGCAGAAACAAGCATACAATCACTTTCGCAGGTCTTAGCTCTGCCCCTATTAGCCATGTAATTTGGAGTCAGTTAACTTAACCATTCTGAGCCTCAGTGCCCTTCACTGGAAACTGGAGTTAATAGTAGTATGTCTTTTGGAGAGTGTTTTCCAAATTTGACTAACAACACTAAACACCTGAAGTACATCTAAAAGATACCGACTTCCAGGTTTCTTCCCTGAAGGTTCTGATCGTGCAGGTAGGGAGTGGTGCTAAAGGGATTGGTGTAACATCAGATAGATTTGGGAAATACTGTAAATGATATTCCAGTGTTAGCATTCCATTGACTTGGTTTTAGGCTGATTCCTTGAACAAAAGATAATTGAAAGAGCTCAGATTTTTGTTATGATACCTTTCCTTTGGGGCATGAAAGGACCCTAAATCTCTACAAAACCACTGGTTAGTTTGAACTCCAAATTCCCACATGATAACTATAGATAAGAAGGGCAGATCCTCAGGAAAGACTGTAAGGAATATAATAGTCCATTTAAAAAATAACTTCTTCCTTTAGGAGTTAGGGCACCTGAGTTCTTCCCCTAACATGCTATTCTCTTTGTTTTGATGTCTCTACAGGCAAGATGGAGAGGGAGATAACTGATCCCCCAAAGAAATTTTTAAAATATTGTACTGCTGGAGTCTTCTGGAACAGGAGCAAAATGACAAAGAGAAAACCCTGAGCTGGAAATCAGCCAATATCAAGAAACCCTGTACATTTACCTGTAGATTAAAGTTCCTTGGGAGGTGGGCAGGTGTTTTTAATTCACATTATTCGAGTGGCTTTTCTCCCTCCAGCAGCAGGCTTGGAATTCATCTGACTGGGAGGTGTTTGGGGATTGTCCTGGGGATTTCTGGCAACTTTTATCAATTTCTCCAGCTAGCTCCCACCATAGTCACAAATGACGAGGGGCCCTAACACTGTCAGCAGATGCACTGGGCTCTTTGGATCTTCCCTAGAGTCTCGGTACCACAGACACTGCCACCATCAGATTGCCCAGAAATCCACCAGCTAGCCTATGGAGAAAAAGGCTTTGAGGGAGAGTAACATTAATTGAGCATTTGCTAAGTGGCAGGTATTTTACTAAGTATCATCTCAATCTTCAACTGGAAATTGAGGTTCTACAAATCTGGGAAACTTGCCCAAGGTCACCCAGCCTGTGATGGTAGAACCAGGATTTGATCTCAAGTCTATCTGATTCCCACACCATTAACCACTACTTGACTGTTGGTCCCTTTCATACTGTCAAAACAAACTTTCCTCTGAAAGTTCCTTTCTACTTAAAAGAACACATTTTTCAAATCTAATTTTTAAAACGGTTAACTTTGGTAGTGCCTGGGTGGCTCAGTCAGTTAAACGGTTGCTTTTGGCTCAGGTCATGATCCCAGGGTCCTGGGATCTAGTCCCACATCGGGCTTCCTGCTCAGTGGAGAGTCTGCTTCTCCCTCTCCTTCTGCCTGCCACTCTGCCTACTTGGGCTCTCTATCTCTCTGTCAAATAAATAAATAAATAATCTTTAAAAAAATGGTTAACTTTGGGAGAAGGAAAAGAAGATGGTGAAGGAGTAGGAGGACCCTAGGCTCATCTTGTCCCCATAAACATAACTAGATAACTATCAAATCATTTATCTAAATAACCCCAGAAACCAACCTGAAGACTGACAGAAAAAACTCCACAACTAAAGGAAGAGAAGAAACCACATCAAGGAAGGTAGGAAGTACAGAGAGGTGGTTTGGGGAAGAAACAGATCGCAAGTGCTATGGAAGGGAGGGAGTCCTGGTCATGGAGAAAGGTGAGAGAGAGAGGCACACAGGGGAATGCACAAGGAGAGCACTTCCCTAAAGGCACTGGCTGGGAAAACAAGAGGGGTTGGTTTTTGTGAGTTTTTGCAACCAGTGGGACTTAGAGACAAGTTTTAAAGGCCAGCCGGCTTGGCTGGGATAGAGCCCTGAGGAACCTGCCCTACTCCTGGAGAGAAGGCAGACAAATAACCTGGGGGCAGGTGGCATGGAAATAGCATCTGAAGAATGCCTGGGGCACACAGCAGGGAGATAATTCATTCTTCTTGGAGCATGTACCTGAGAGGTAGGATTCTTACCTCTCTGGAGACAAAGGAGCCAGCAGGTGCCATTTACCTCCCTTGCCCCTCAGCATAAACACACAGCCACCTTCAGGAGGCAGCACAGTGCCCACAGAGGCTGCCTAAGATGCTTACACCAAGTCCAACCCACCCTGTTCTCTGGAACACCTGCCCTCTGTCAGGCTTGCCTCTGTCCCAACATGGCCAGCCCCTTCCCCAGAAGGCCAGCAGAAATCCCTGCCCATACCATATTTCCTGACCAGAGTTCTGCTGGACTTCAGTTTTAGTAGTAGTAGTATCAGGTCTCTTTTAACAAGCAGACCAGAGCACACCTAGTTAAAACTCACCACACTCTGGCCAAGGACCAAACAGTGCCCACTGCAGGCAAGGAGAGTCTCTGCTGATACCTGGCCTGAGGATACAGCAGTCAAACACAACAGCAGAGTGCACACAGCATGCCTCAGACACTCTCTGAAGTGCCAGGCCCTAAACACTCTATGACCTCTTCTTCATAAAGCTGTTACTTTCAGGAGCAGGAAACATAACTGGCTTTTCTAATATGGAGAAGAAAGCAGAGACTTAGACAAAATGTCCAGATGGAGGAATCCATCCCACATGAAAGAACAAGATAAGGTCACAGTCAGAGATCTAAGCAAAACAGATATAAGTAACATTCCTGATAGATAATTTAAAGATTTTATTTATTTATTTGACAGACAGAGATCACAAGCAGACAGAGAGGCAGGCAGAGAAAGAGAGAGGAAGAAGCAGCCTCTCTGCTGAGCAGAGAGCCTGATGCGGGGCTCGATCCCACGACCCTGGGATCATGACCTGAGCCGAAGGCAGAGGCTTTAACCCACTGAGCCACCCAGGCGCCCCCCTGATAGAGAATTTAAAGCAACAATCATAAAGATACTCACTGGGCTTGGGAAAAGAATAGAAGATTTCAAGGAGACTCTTACCACAGAGATAATAGAATTAAAAAAGTATCTGTCAGAAATGAAAAATGCAGTAATTGAGATTGGAAACCAGCTTGAGGCAATGAACACAAGGCTGAAAGAAGCAGAAGAATAAATAAGTGATATAGAAGACAAAATAATGGAAAATAAGGAAGCAGAACAAAAGAGAGAAAGAATTATGGAACACGAGAATAGACTCGGGGAATCGAGTGACTCTGTCCAAAGCAATAACAATCACATTATAGAAGAACGGGGGAGCAGGAAATTTATTTGAAAAAATAATAGCAGAAAACTTCCCTAATCTGGGAAAGAAACAAACATCCCGATCCAAGAGACACAGAGAACTCCCATCAAAATCAACCAAAGCAAGCCAACATTAAGACATATTGTAATTAAATTTGTAAAATATAATTAAAAAAAACAACTATTGAAAGCAGCAAGACAAAAGAAGTCCTTAGCTTTCAAGGGAAGACCCATAAGGCTGGCTATAGATTTCTCAACAAAAACACTGCAAGCCAGAAGGGAGTGGCATGACATATTTAAAGCGCTGAATGGGAAAAATCTGTAGCCAAGAATATTCTATCCAGCAAGGCTATCATCCAGAAGAGAAGGAGAGAAAAAAAGTTTCCCATACAAAAACTAAAGGATGGGATGCCTGGATGGCTCATTCAGTTAAGTGGCTGCCTTCAACTCAGGTCATGATCCCAGCAGCCTCAGATCGAGTTCTGCATCGGGCTCCTTGCTCAGAAGAGAGCCTGCTTCTCCCTCTGCCTGTCATTCTCCCTGCTTATGCTCTCTCCCTCTCTCTTTCTGACAAATAAATAAAATCTTTTTTTAAAAACCCCCAAAACAAACAAACAAAAAACTAAAGGAGTTTGTGACCACAAAACCAGTCCTACAAGAAATACTATTGGGGTATCTTTGAGTGTGGAAAGACCAAAAGTGACAAAGACAAGAAAGGAACAGAGAATACTTCCAGAAACAATGACAAAACAAGTAATAAAATGGCACTAAGTACATATCTATCAATAATTACTCTGAATGTAAATGGACTGAATGTTCCAATCTAAAGACATAGGGTATTGGAATGGATAGAAAAAACAAGACCCATCTATATGTTGGCTACAAGAGACTCATTTTAGATCTAAAATCACCTGCAGATCCAAAGTGAGGGGGTAGAGAAACATTTATCATGCAAATGGATGTAAAAAAAAAAAAAAAAAAAAGGCCAGAGTAGTGCTATCACTAGCCAGAGCTCTTAAAGATGTTCCTCTGGAGATGCCCTGCTTTCTTGTTGTTGTTTTGTTTTGTTTGTTTTGTTTGTTTTTTTGTGACCTTGTCAAAAGTCACCAGTCCAAGATGGTAAAACTTTTGGACTTGCCTTACCAAGGCCTGCAAAGGTGAAATCCTCCTAGTATCCATCTTTTGAGGCTTTCTAGAAGATTTTAGGTGAAGAAAGCCACTTGAGATTTTATACTCTCTGTCTTGCCTCCTGTATTCTCGAAACTATTACCTCATGCAAGCTTCTGTGCTTGCATTGCCCTCTGAATCTAACATTAACTTTTCTCAAATGGATTAAAAAATAGTTATACAATAATCTCCAAAATCTTCGGAAGGAAGCAGAAGGAATCTTCTAAGCTATCAGGGCTTTTCCTCTCAGTCTCTGAACCTGGGGACAATACCTGGGGTTCCTTCCTACCCTGGGATGAGGAGAATAATCTTTAATAAAGTCGATAGGAAACGCTGAGTATGGAGCTGTGAGGACAATCACTTTAAAACCGCCTGCATCTATGGTGAGGAGAGGAAGAGCTGCCACTGCTGATCAGGATTATGAATGGGGGATCCTTTTGAACTTTCTAGGCAACAATGGATTTCACAGGGCATTGTTTCTATAACTCTTAAAACCTTGTTAATTATCCCACAAAGAAAGCACTCTGGCGACTGGGAGGTTAGGAGTTGGCCCAGTTGGGGGTGGAGGGTTAGGAGGCTACAGGTAGGAAGTTTGAAGGGCTGTGGGGAAAGGGTGAGATGTTCTGAGACCTGGGGCCAACTTCATTCTGGGCTTGCCTGTGTGTTCAGTTTGGCTTTGGGCTGGATTCTGGGGAGAGATGGGCTTGCTATTCAGGGAGGCATGAAGTTCTGCCTTAGACTAAATGATGTTTATAGTTGTGGCTCTTTTCTACTCTTATGCTGTGCTGAAGTGATGGAGACCGGGCTGTGCTACAAATAAATAATTTTATCTTGTTTTTGTTAAAAAAAATATATATGGACAAACTAGACTTTAAAATAAAGTCTATAGGGGCACCTGGGTGGCTCAGTGGGTTAAAGCCGCTGCCTTCAGCTCAGGTCTTGATCTCAGTGTCCTGGGATCTCTGCTCAGTGGGGAGCCTGCTTCCTTCCTCTCTCTCTCTGCCTGCCTCTTTGCCTAGTTGTGATCTCTGTCTGTCAAATAAATAAATAAATCTATAAAAAATTAAAAAAATAAAATAAAGTCTATAACAAGAGATGAAAAAGGGCACTCCATCATAATAAAGGAGGGCAAGTGATATTATGAGCACTGGGTGTTACACGCAACTAATGAATCATTGAACATTACATCAAAAACTAATGATGTATTATATGTTTGCTAATTGAATTTAAATTAAAAAAAATGAAAAAAAGAGCTGTTACACAAATTCTGTAATACAAAAACAATGTACAAAAATCTGTTGCATTTCTATACACCAATAATGAAGCAGCAGAAAGACAAATTAAGGAATCAATCCCATTTACAATTGCACCAAAACTTCTAAGATACTTAGGAAAAAACATAACCAAATAGGTAAAAGACCAGTACTCTGAAAACTATAAAACACTGATGAAAGAAACTGAAGAGGACATGAAGAAATGTAAAGATATTCCATGCTCATGGATTAGAAAAATAAATATTGTTAAAATGTAAAGATATTCCATGCTCATGGCTTAGTAAAACAAATATTGTTAAAATGTCTATGCCACCCAAAGCCATTTACACATTTAATGCAATCCCTATCAAAATAACACCAGCATTTTTCACAGAGCTAGAATAAATAATTCTAAAATTTGTATGGAGCTACACAAGACCTCAAATAGCCGAAGCAACCTTGAAAAAGAAAAGCATCACAATTGTGATGGAGGCATCACAATTTGGAATTCAGGTTATTTTACAAAGCTGTAGTGATCAAAACAGTGTGGTACCAGCACAAAAACAGACACATGGCTCAATAGAACACAATAGAAAACCCAGAAATGAACCCACAACTATAGGGTCCATTAATTTTTGGCAAAGCAGGAATGAATATTCCAGGGAAAAAGACAGTCTCTTCAACAGATAATGTTGGGAAAACTGATAGCAACATGCAAAATAATGAAACAAGACCACTTTCTTACACCATACACAAAAATAACTTCAGAATGGATGAAAAACCTAAATATGAGACAGGAAACCATTAAAATCCTAGCGGAGAATATAGGCACTAACCTCTTTGACGTCAGCCATAGCAACATCTTTCTAGCTAGTCTCTGGAGGCAAGGAAAACAAAAGCAAAAATAAAGGACTGGGACTTCATCAAAATAAAAAGCTTCTGCACAGGGAAGGAAGCAATCAACAAAATTAAAAGTCAGCCTATAGGGGAAGAATGGGGAAAGATATTTGCAAATGACATATCTGATAAAGGGTTAGTATCCAAAATATATAAAAAACTTACACAACTTAACACCCAAAAAAACCAAATAATCCAACTAAAAAATAGATAAAAGACAATGGATAGAGATTTTTCCAAAGAAGACATACAGCTGGCCAATAGACAGATGAAAACATGCTCCATACCACTCATCACCAGGGAAATACAAATCCGAACTACAACGAGATATCGCCTCACACTTGCCAAAATGGCTAAAATAAAAAACACAAGAAACAACAGCTGTTGGTGAGGATATGAAAAAAGGGGAACCCTCTTGCACCGTTGGTGGGAACGCAAACTGGTACAGCCACTAAGGAAAACAGTATGGAGATTCCTCAAAAGGCTGAAAATAGACCTATCTTATGATCCAGCGATTGTATTATTAGGCATTAACCCAAAAGACTAAAATACCAGTTCAAAGGGATACATGGACCCTGATGTTTATAGCGACATTATCAACAATAGCTAAACTAGGGGCGCCTGGGTGGCTCAGTGGTTTAAGCCGCTGCCTTCGGCTCAGGTCATGATCCCGGGTCCTGGGTTCGAGCCCCGCATCGGGCTTTCTGCTTGGCGGGGAGCCTGCTTCCTCCTCTCTCTCTGCCTGCCTCTCTGCCTGCTTGTGATCTCTGTCAAATAAATAAATAAAATCTTTAAAAACAAAACAAAACAAAAAAAAAAACAATAGCTAAACTATGGAAACAGCCCAAGTGTCCATCGACTGATAAATGAATAAAGAAGGTGTGGTATATGTATATAATGGAATATTCCTTGGCCATCAAAAAAGAATGAAATCTTGCCATTGCAACAACATGGATAGAGCTAGAGAGTATAATGTTAAGCAAATAAGTCAGTCAGAGAAACATAAATACCATATGATTTTACTCATATGTGGAATTTAAAAAACAAAATGAACAAAGAGGCAGAAAAAAAGAGAGAAAAGGAGGCAAACCGAGAAACAGACTCTTAACTATAGAGAACAAACTGATGATTACCAGAGGGGAGGTGGGTAGGGGGGTGGGTAAAATGGGTGATGGGGATTAAGCAGGGCCCTTGATGTGATGAGTATTGTATGTAAATATTCAATCACTAAATTGTACACCTGAAACTAATATTACACTGTATGTTAACTAATTGGAATTTAAATGAAAACTTTAAAAAAATGGTTAGCTCTATTATTGGGAACTATGACAAGTACTACAAAATAAATAAAAATGAGTAAATATGAATAAATATGAGATACAATTTTTTCCTACCAATTGTGGTGACTCCATTTTTTTTTCAGCCAGATTATGAATATCAGGAGCCAGGAGTAAGCTAAAAACTCCTTTAATTCCAGACCATGCTATAACAATTCCCCATTTCCAATTATATTCGTAATTTGTATGCATCAGAATGGGGCTCACTAACACAACAGTAAGCAACCTGTGGAAAGAAAAAAAATTTATTAATCACACCTAATGTATCAATGTTATTCATGGTTGAATACTACATTTCATATCAGATTTTTTTCAGGAAAAATAAAATAATCAGTTTATTAACAAGTTGTTCAAACTTTTTGGGACAAATCAAATCTACTGTCTAAATTTTGCATATAATACTCATATCTTGAAAAACAGTGCTAGAAGTTTTATACAAATACAAGGATTTATTATTAACACTATTGGGCACTATTTGGATTTGCGTAGTAAATTTCTGAAAGAAAGTTCTTCAAATAACATTGACAAGCTCATCTATTCCATGGAGGGCCATGACTAGATTCAGAAATTGGGCCAAAAGGACATGCAGATGATGGCCAGAAAGGGAAAATTATTGTAGGCACATTAATAAATGGCTTAACCAAAGTTTTCTTGTGCTCCCTTGAAACTCATAAATTAAATGTCACATAAGTAATCTCAGTTTGTGTCTTTTTTCCTCTACAGAACAGTTTTCTTTGCTTTTCTTTTTAGAGTGGGGAGGGACAGACGGAGAGGGAGAGAGAAAATCTCAAGCAGGCTCCATGCCCAGCACGGATCCTGACACTGGGCTCAATCTCACAATCCTAAAATCATGACCTAGGCTCTCAAGAGTCAGACGCTTAACTGACAGAGTCACCCAGGTGCCCCTCTCTTCTTTTTTCTTATTTGAGAATAGTTGACCCACAATGTTAATCATAGTTTTATGTGCAACATAGTGATTCCACAACTCTATTATTATGCTATGCTCTCCACAAGTGCCTACGGATCATTTTTCTATAAGACCCTCTACCCAAAATTTAGAATCTATATTTAGGGGATCTGCACCAAATGAATATCAGTACTATCCCTCAAAGCAGATTTCAGCAGAAAGAAAATTGACATGTCCTTAGCCTCAGAAAATATATTGTGTATCAGTTGCTCAGCTGGGAATTTCACAAGACAGTTTAGAGAATTTCTATCATTGAGAAACAGAAAATCTGCAATTACCGTCTGCAACATATGTAATTAATTTGAACAAACTCCTCTGCCTTGCATTTAAGCCTTTTGCAAAGTAATTCTTATCAACATTTTCAGCCTTACTAATTGGTCTTTCTCTGAAATACCATGGAGTCCAGCCAAAATAGAACAACTCATATCATTTCCTGATATCAAAAACAGAAAGGCAGTGTAGTAAAATCTCAGGAGTCAGTCTACCTAGGTTTCAAGTTGAGGCTGCTTTTGCCAACCATGTAAACTTAAGCAAGCTCTTTAACCTACTTATTTATTTAAAAGATTTTATTTATTTGAGAGAGTGGGAGAGAGAGTAAGAGAGTGCACAAGAGGGGAGAAGGTCAGAGGGAGAAGCAGAATCCCCATGGAGCTGGGAGCCTGATGCAGGACTCGAGCCCCAGACTCCAGGATCATGACCTGAGCCGAAGGCAGTGGCTTAACCAACTGAGCCACCCAGGCACCCTCTTTAACCACTTTAAACCTCAGTTTCTTCACCTGTAAAGTGGAGGTGATATATAACAATAAGTACACTTGCCTCAAAGGATTATTGTGAAGACTCAATTAAATGAGGCAACATACATAGGATTTAGAATGATGTTTTGAATGTGGTCAGCACTCAATACATGTTAGCAATAATTATTGTGTCCAGGCCTTAGTTTGGCTCATCCTCTAAAATGTTTTTCTCAACAAGTCTCTTATGAAAAGCCCACCCATATTTTGAGGGACCCTCAGGATGACTCCTTCCATTAAAGCCTTTCCTCTAGTGAGATGGATCCAATAGTTCACCTCAGATCCCTGGCACTCCCAAGCCATTTGACTTTGGGCAAGGTACTTTGCCTTTGTTGGCCAGTTTCTTCATCCATAAAATTCCCATCTCCTAGTGTTGTTATGAAGATGAAATGAGACACCAGAAGTGTAGCCGAGCCAAACAATGTGCATATTCTTCATATTCTCTCTTCATTTTCTTTTTCTTTTTCTTTTTTTTTTTGACAGACAGAGATCACAAGTAGGCAGAGAGGCAAACAGAGAGAGAGGAAGGGAAGCAGGCTCCCTGCTGAGCAGAGAGCCCGATGTGGGGCTTGATCCCAGGACCCTGGGATCATGACCTGAGCTGAAGGCAGAGGCTTTAACCCACTGAGCCACCCAGCTACCCCTTCTCTCTTCATTTTTTGTGACCAGTCTCAATTGGCGCGTGAGCTTCCATCGTACAAAGAAGCGTAAATTGCATACACATCCTTGTGTGTGAGAGTGACTATATGAGTGGTGTGCAGGGCCTTCAGAGTCAGCAAAAGCAATGTCCCCTGAGAACCTCTTATAAAGGAAGTTCCGGGACACCTGGGTGGCTCAGTTGGTTAAGCAGCTGCCTTCGGCTCAGGTCATGATCCCAGCGTCCTGGGATTGGGTCCCGCATCGGGCTCCTTGCTCTGCAGGGAGCCTGCTTCTCCCTCTGCCTCTGCCTGCCATTCTGTCTGCCTGTGCTCGCTCTCTCTCCCTCTCTCTCTCTGATAAATAAATAAAATCTAAAAAAAAAAAATTTTTTTTAAGATTTTATTTATTTATTTGACAGAGAGAGATCACAAGTAGGCAGAGAGGCAGGTAGAGG